ACCACTGAGAGAGACGGGTGACGTGTGTAGGATAGCGACGTTGGCGGGAGCGTGTGTAGCAGGTCCATCCTTTAGCGAGGGTTGGTGGGGAATGGCCACGAGAAAGCATGCGACGAGTGAGTGTTGTCGCTGCAGTTCGGAAGTCCTGCCAATTATTGCAGATGCGTTCAAATCTGGTCAATTGCCCAGTGAACACACCTGCCGGTTGATGGGAAGGAATGTTGGAGGTAGCACTTGGATAGTGAATAACAGGGAAATCCCAAGCAGCTGCTTTATCAAACACGCTCATGCGAAGCGAACCATCATATATTCTCACAAATCTATGAACTGAAAGAGCGCTCTCCGTGAAACAAACGATAAAAGCACACGGGACAAACATGAAGAGCACGCTGAAACCATTTGTTTTATCATTCTTCGTTTAACTCCTCCCTTCACTATGTCTCTCACGTACAAGGCTTGCCAAAAAAAAAAAAAAAAAAAAAAAAAAAACAGGCTCGCCACATTGACGAAGTTGAGCGCGAGCTGCCCGCATCCCCGTGTGCCATAACTGCCCACTATTACGCTGTGAGAAACAGACACAGTAAATGGGGAGAAGATAACACAGAGAAGAGAGATGTAGAGAATACAAACAAAGAATGACAAAGGGAAAGTAAGGGAGAGTAAGGGAAAGTCAGGGGGGTGGAATGAACACGAATGCGAAGGAGAGGATAAGAAAAGGCTCAAGAATCAGTCTATCCTTGATGACAGAAAGGGGACATACATTTGTAAGGATGAGGTGGATGAATGAATGGAAGACCTAGCTGAGCATTCTCAGTACTACAATTGCCAAGAAGGCTGGCATTGAGCATGCCCACCATACACCCCCGACAAACGGCATGTCCAATTGCAGGCCAACATGAAGGAAGAACAGTCGCCACAAAAGACTGTGCATTCAGTATAGCGCCCATGGCCACAAAATGGACATGTAGTGTCCGGATGCGGAGGGTGCCTGGAGTCAGAAATGGAGGGACAGTCCTCTATATGTAATATGTATATACATGTAACTGACGGACAGAAACAACAGGCAAGATCATCGACACGTTCCTCAACGCCAGGCATACCTCTTCCTTGCGCAACTGCTGCCGCAGCAACCTTCCGATCGTCCTTAGTGCTGTGAGAGGTCCACGCATCTGACAACCAAGAAGATTATCCACAAAATGTTGAAATTATCATCATCACTCCTTCAACACAGCAACATCACACATTACAAAACCCTTTTCAAGGATATGAATTATCGAGTTCATCATTTCACTAAATGAATTGTCAATTTCCAGGAAAACAAATCTTTCTCATCATGTACATTTACCAAGTGCACTAAAAAAAATCAAAGTTCATGCACAATTTTATCATTTTTATGTCAATTTCACCCAAAATAAGATCCAGCATCATGGCAGAGAACAATCAACTTTTCTGTACCAATCAAGTTCCTTAGCTGCTGAGACCGTTTCCCTAAGTAGCCCACTACATGAACAGCACCTCTACATTATCTCTCTCTCTCTCTCTCTCTCTCTCTCTCTCTCTCTCTCTCTCTCTCTCTCTCTCTCTCTCTCTCTCTCTCTCT